CTTGGCACCCACGTGCCATTGGTATATACATATTGGGTATGTGGCTAAGCTTTCGGCCATATTCCTGAGGTCGGAACGTGCCAGGAACATTCGAACGCCCCTCCCTTACCTTTCCGAGCCCCGCTGGGGTCGAGAGCCCATTGCCGCGCACATATACACAGGGATGCAGCCATTCAGGAAGTAATGCGCTTCTTGCTGTGCCGCATTAGGCGCATCTGAGCAAGTATGTGAAGTACACGTTGCGGCGTTACGATGCCACCTCGATGGATGCTCCCTGCGCCGTTTTCTGACAGCCCCAGAACGGCTCGCGGAGAGTGCCCAGAGCCCGACGACGGAACAGCGGCCTCAGGATACGCTTCCCGCCAACGACGAGGACGAGGGCCGAGAACGAGGGCGGCGACGGCGACTGCGGCGGCGACGGCGGCGACGACGACAAGCTGGAAAACGGCGGCGGCGATGATTGGACGACGACGACGACGGCAGGCGACGACGGCGGCGACGGCGACCAGCTGGACCGAGCGCCGCGGCCGCAACATGTCGCTTGCGCCGCCGCTGGGCCACGCGCGAGAGGCGCCAGCCGCTGGCCGCCAGGCGCAGAAGCCACGCCTTGTCCGTCCCCGGATCCTGCAGCAGATGAAGAGGAGGAGGAGGAGGAGGAGGAGGAGGAGGAGGAGGAGGAGGAGGAGGAGGAGGAGGAGGAGGAGGAGGAGGAGGGGGAGGACGAGGAGGAGGAGGAGGAGGAGGAGGAGAATGAGGAGGACTCGGAGGAGGAGGTTCCGAGACCCGCCCCCCCCCCTTCTAGAGGAGAGGTGGGGAGGAAGATGGTGGACACAGGAAGAGGAGGAGGAGGACGAGAAGGAGGAGGAGAAGGAGGAGGAGGAGGAGGAGGAGAAGAAGGAGGAGAAGGAGAGGGAGGAGGGCCAGAGTAAACCCCAGGCGCATCAACGATGTTGAAATACCCCCGCCCTCCAAGTTCCCTCTTCATGGGTGGCCCACTGGAAGACATCCGTCTGAGAATCCCCATTCGCGCCAAAGCACCATTCCTGAGACTTCAACGTCGCGCATCAACTTGACCGATGCTTCCTGACAGTCCGCAATTGTGCCAGAAGACCAGTCCTGGGACTTCAACCGTCCACATTACTGGAACTGCAACAAGCGTTCAAACTACACGTGCGCGGCGCTAGCCACACAGAGGGTAGGGGGGGACCAGGAGGAGGAGGAGGAGGAGGAGGAGGAGGAGGAGGAGGAGGAGGAGGAGGAGGAGGAGGAGGGGGCGAGGAGCAGGAGGAGGAGGAGGAGGAGGAGGAGGAGGAGGAGGAGGAGCAGGAGAAACAAACATGGAGGAGCAGGAGGAGTCGAACAACGTGGGCGAGTGCCGAACATGTGGGTTCGCCTGTCGGTCGGCGCTCCGAGGAGGGAGGGCGCCCCAGCTCTGGCCTGGCCTGGGGCCACCAGAGAGGTACCAGGGTGCCCCGCGTGCTCCCCGCCTTTTGCTGCCCCTGCGGGCAAGACTGGAGTCGAGAGTCAACGCCCGCGCACATCACCGCAAAGTCTGAGTCTAAGGACCTTCCTCCTCCTCCTCCTCCTCCTCCTCCTCCTGCTTCTCCTCCTCCTGCTGCTGCTCCTCCTCCTCGCTGGCCTTCAACCTGTACAGCAAAATGAAGCACGCCACGCCGACCCCGGCCACGATAGCTGAAGGGTTGAGCGCTGCCAAAGCATTGCTCTGGAAGTAGGTCGGCTCCAGCGGACGGACGCGTGCTGACAACTTGCCCTCGTCTCGAGTCTTGCCCGCTTGCCCTCGTCTCTTCCTCTTTGGGTACGTGCACTCCTCCTCCTCCTCCTCCTCCTCCTCCTCCTCCTCCTTTTTCTCCTCCTAAGTCGTTCTCCGAACAGGGTTGCTCCTTGAGAAGCGTTGCGGGCCGCCCGTCTGCGATCTTCCGTTGACGTATTCGCTCAAGCTTTTCCCCACGGGGCATGATGCACCCGTGGGCGGTCGGAGCCCTCACCCTGCTCGCGCATGGCGTGGCCTCCTGGTTGAGTCGGGCGCCCCCGCCGCCGCCGTGGCCGTCGCTGGCGCGCCCGGGCTGCCGTTGCGGCTGCCCCGCAGTGCCGCCCTGCCCGGTCCGCCCTGGGGCGCCGGTTTCTCAGTGGTCGCAGCAGGAGCCGGCTCGCCCCCCCCGCGGCGCCCGCGGCCCCGAAGGTAGCAGCGGCCTGGGGGACGACCGTGGCGTCGCTCGTGCTCGGCTTCGCACTCGGCGACCTGGGAAGGTGGAGGCTGTGCCGGCGTCCGACTTCGAGGGGTGGCCCTGGGCTGGGCATGGGGCGCCGGCTGCCGCTGACGGGGCCGCCCCGGCCGGGCTGCCCGCCGCCGGCGGGCCGCCGGGCGGGGGCTGGGTCGTCGAGCGGGCGGATGCCCCGCCGCCCGCCGCCGCACCCGCCGTCCCAGCGCCTGCGCCCCAGCTGGGCGAGAGGATGCGCCGAGGGGGCGCGGCCGCGGCGGCTGCGCCGGCCGCGGGCGACAGAGGGGCGGGCGCCGCGCCGGCGCCCGCTGGTGCAGCCCTCGCAGCGGGCGCGGTCGCGCCGACCCGGCCCCTGGTGCTGGCGGGGGGGGCCGGGGGCCTCGTCCCCGCGCCCGTGGTCAACTGGCGCGGCGCCCAGGAGTGGAGGGGCTACCACTACGGCGACGTGATCTCCCCCTGGGCTGTCTCCGCGGGGGCGGGCATTCCCGCCCGAGGAGTCGCTCCCTTCGCGGATAGGTCGTCGTTCTTCGTCGAGTGGGTCATCGTTGGTGACGAGTGGGACTCCGCCGACCAAGCGGTGGCGCCCGACTGCCGCCTGCTGTCGGTCCGCCTCGCTCGCGGGGGCTGGCCTTTCCGGACGCTCGAGAGTTTCGAGGAGGGCGGCCGCCAGGAGCACCTCCCCGACGTCATCGCGCCGAGGACGACCAAGTGGTGCCTCGAGCACCTCGCGGGCGAAGGCCGCCCTCTCGAGCCCCACTTCGCGCACGGCCAGAAGCGGTGCGGCCTGCGGGACACTCAGTGGGGCATGGAAGAGTACGCCAAGGGGATCAGCTACTTGGAGGCGTCGCTCCAGCACGATCAGGTGGACGCGTCCCACTTCCTATCGGTGGAGAAGGTGTCCTGCCGGCTGCGGACGATCGAGTTCTGCTACTGTGACAAGCTGCGCGAGAGGACGGCGGGCTCTCCCGTGGGGAGGCTCCCCGCCGCCGAGCAGGCCGCCTTCGGCGCCACCGCCCGGGCCGCTCCAAGGCTCAGGGTGTCGCCCGCGCCCCTCGAGAGCGTCAAGCTGGGGCGGGAGCGCGACGCCTCGCGGGCCAGGAGCCCCCTGCAGGCGCGCGAGGCCCGGGAGTCGCTGGGCTGGCGGACGCAGGGCCAGGGGCAGGGCCAGGGGTGATGCCCGACCGCCCCCACCAGACGTCCCTCAGGTCTGGTGGGGGAGAACCCAACATGACTGGGGATGCTCGGCCAGCCGTCGCGCCGCCGGGAGATTTTGACAGGAACGTGGGAAGGGATCTACTGCCCTTCCCCACGGAGCTCCTCACCTCGCCGGGGCCACCTGCACCTGGGCTCTCGCGAGGTTGCCGACAGAGAGTCGGCCGTCGGCAGCGTCGTCACGCCGACGTTCTTCGGTGCCTGGAGGGTCTCAACACGCTGTACGGCCATCGTGATGGGGTATTTGTGCCAGCTGAGCTGAGCCGCGGGCAGCAGCGGATGCTCGAGCATGTTGAACCCTCTGTCTCTTTCCTGGGGCCTCCCCCGGATGATTTTTCGCAGGCGGCAGCCCTCCAGGCGCTGCGCCTCGGCCTCCCCTACGACGCAGGAGGGGGCCCCGTGGGCTATGAAGCCTCCCGCGTGTCCCTCCCAGCAGCTGGGTCTGTTCCGACTCCGCTCGCTCGGCTTTGGGGATCCGGCGGGGAAAGCACTGCGCGCTTTGTTGAGTCGCAAGTTTTGCCCATCGACGTGGCTCGCACGAAATTGTTGACGCTTCGCGTATCCCCACCAGCCCATCCAGAAACGATGCTCAGGGGAGTTGAGGTGATCAGGGAAGTCGGGGAGCATGCAGAAAAACAAAGGGCGGGGGAAGCTGTCACAGACCCCGAGAGGGGGAGGATGGAAGAGGAGTCGTCGTCGTCGTCGTCGTCGTCGTCGGAGGAGGAGGAGGAGGAGGGGGAAGAGGAGGAGGAGGAGGAGGAGGAGGAGGACGGAGAAGGAGGAAGAATCGGAGGAGGAGGAGGAGGAGGGGAAGGAGCTTCTTGGGGGTCTTTTGAGGGCCTCTTGGAGGGCTTTTTGGGCGCCTTGGGGCATCTTGGGCGCCTCTTGGGACCCTCTTGAGGCGCTCTGGGGAGCCTTCGGGGCGCTTTTGGGGCCATCTTGGAGGGAGTCGATCAAACAAGAGGGGGGGTTTAATTAGCGCCCCCCCTCGGAAGCCCCTAAAATCGCCTCTTGGACCCCTCTTGGAACGCTCTTGGAGTGCTCTTGGGCGCTCTTGGGGCCGTCTTGGGGCTCTTTTGGGGCTCTCTTGGGGCCCTCTTGGGCCATCTTGGAGCCATCTCCAGGCCTCGGATAGCCATCGGAAGCGAAAAGGCGAGAAAGCAAAAATCATTGATTTTCCTTAGGTTTTGGGACGATTTTGGCCTCTTCGGGGCCTCCTTGGGGAGCTGTTTGGCCACTTGGAGTTATCTTGGGGCCGTCTTTGGGCTTCTTGGAACCATCTTAGGAGCCATCGTGAGCGATCTTGCGCTATCTTGAGCCATCTTGGAGCTCATCTTGGGTTCTCTGAGGCGCTCTTGGAGCCGTCTTGGGCCATCTTGGACGCTCTAACTACCCGCGGCCCCCCCCGTCCAGGTCCAGGGGAGGGGGTAGGGGGAGGGGTAAACCCCTCCCCAAGGGGGAAGAGGGAGGGGTGGAAGAGGATCTGCTCTAGACCACCTACGCCCAGAGGGCTGGTGGGATTAAAGGACTCGGGCCCGCGTCGGCCCTATGGCGACCCTCGCCTCCACTCCCCTGCTCTATACGGCGAATTCATTCAGCGATTGGTCGAAGCGGGCGTAGTTGAGCTGACGCTCGAGCGAGCTATCGAGGTGGTGGACTGCTTCTTTGTGAAGAAGGGTGGCGGGAGGCAGCGCCTGGTCGTCGACTGTCGTCGGTCTAATCAACATTTTGAGCCTCCCGCCCCTGTCAGTTTAGTGTCTGGCGATACCCTCGCCCAGGTGCATGACGAGGAATCTTTCGGTCAGCCCGTCTTTATCGGCCAGGTCGACATAAAAGACGCTTTCTATCACATGGAGCTTCCGGCAGGGCTCCGGCAGTTCTTCGGGCTGCGAAAAGTTCGGGCCTCGTGGGTGGGCATCTCTCATCTTCGGGGCGTCCGGGTGTCCCCGGGGACCTGGGTCACCCCTCGGATGCGAGCCCTGCCCATGGGCTGGTCTTGGGCCCTGTGGTGGTGCCAGGCTATCCACGAGCGGGCGGCCGAGGAGGGAGGATCCCCTGCTGCTGCCCGTCTCGCTGACGGCTCTCCTCCGCCTCCCCTCGCCTCCTCCCCTCATGCGCAGTACGTTGATAACTATGTTGTGTTTTCGACGAGCGAGGCGGTGGTCCGCGAGCGCTTGGCAGGAGTGTCTCGAACCCTCGAGGCCCGCGGGCTGCCTCTGCATAAAGACTCTGTCTCGTGCGGTCGGGATGTCGTGCTGGGGTGGGAGATCGACTGCCTTCGGCGCACCTTCCGCCCGACCCCCGAGCGCGTCTGGAAGGCTCGACTCGCCATTCGGGGTCTTTTGGCGCGGGCCTCGGTCTCTGGAGGGGACCTGGAGCGCCTCCTGGGCCATCTGTGTTTCATCGGCCTGTGTAGGCGAGAGTCGCTCAGCGTTTTCAAATATTGTTACAGGTTCTGTGAGGCCGCGCGGAGATGCCCAGCCCGGGGGCCTCGGGCCCTCTGGGCCTCAGCGCGGAAGGAGCTCGACACCTGGGACCGTATCGCCCCGCTCATCTGGGTCAACACTTCAGCAGGTACCTGTCCCGACGTCGTTGTGGTGGACGCATCGCCGTGGGGCCTTGGGGCCGTTTGGGGGCGACCGCCGGTGGCCCTGGTCAAGGAGGCCTGCCGACACTCGGAGCGAGCTGGGGCTAGGGAGGCGGCCCGTGAGGGGCTGCCACCCCGAGAGCGAGCTTTCGCCGCGGCCGCTGCGCAGCTGCACGGGGGTGAAGGGGAGGCCGACGGGCGGATCCTGATGGAGCACGTGCGGCCCCAGACTGGGCGAGGCCGGCCCGAAAGCGAGTTCGACCGCCGACACCGGGAGCCGTTCGAGGACGTCCCCTTGGACCTCTTGAGGGCCCCCTGGAAGGTGTGCGGGAGGCAGAAGTGGAGACGGCCCTCGGGGTCTATGCCGGCCCTGGAAGCGGAGGCGCTGTTGTACGGGGTCCGCCACCTCCTGAGGTCCGTCGCCAACTTGGGCTCGAGGCTGCTCGTGATAGGGGACTCGATCTCCGCCTCCCTGGCCGCCGCGAAGGGGCGGTCCTCCTCCGAAGGCATGCTCTCGGTGACCCGCCGGCTGGGCGCCCTGCTGCTGGGGACCGGCAGCCTCTTGCGGTCGCGCTGGATCGCGTCGGAGCTCAACCCTGCGGACGGGCCGTCTCGCGGGCGCCCGGCGCCGAGCGATCCGCTTGCCGGCCTGCGGCGCGAGCTCGCAGCCGCCGCCGGCGAGGGCCGTGAGGCTGGCGCGCGGCAGGTCCGACGGGTCGACGACCCTCGCGGGGCGCCTGCCGCCGCTGCCCAGCTCGGGGTCGGCCTCCCCCCCGGCCTCGGCCCCCCTGGAAGCTGGGGGCCCGCGGGCGGCAGCGGCGCAGGTGCGGGCTGGGCGCGCTGCCGAGCTGGCTGCTGGGCGGGCCATGGAGGCCCGGACGGGTGTGCTTCGGAGGGCCTCGGTATCGGCGAAGACTCAGGCCCAGTACTCTCTCTACCTGGCCGCCCTGCGCAGGTTCTCCCACTCCCGCGGGGGCCGCCCGATCACCAGAAAGGAGAGGGACATCTCCACCGCGGGCTGGATGGAGATCATGTTCAGGAGAGGCGGCTCGCTGAGCGCGGGCGAGGAGCTCCTGGCGTCGGTGCAGTGGGCCAGGCCCCGCCTCAGCGGGCGGGGGGACAGGCGGATGCCCATCTGCCGGCAATGCCCGCGGGGCCAGTGCCGAGCTGCCCCGGCGGGAGGCCGCCTGCCCCTGCCCCACGACGTGGTAGCGCTGCTGGCGAGCGGGATGTACCGCCAGAGGCTGCGACCCCACTCGCTGGCGGGCCTCAGGATGATGGAGCTGCTCTTGCGCCCGGGGGAGCCACTCCTGCTACGGTGCCGCGCCGTGGCGGCGGGAGCCCTCAGCGGAGCCCGCGTGAGGACCCCCACATCGGTGCTGCTCCACCTGATCGGGATGCGGACCCCGCCCCAGAGCTGGGAGTTCTGCCAGGCGATCGTCGTCGACCTCGACCGGCAGGCGGCGCTCGCGGGCGTCCTGGTGCAGCTGGTGCTGGCGCGCAGCGCGGGACCCTGGCGGGAGCTCTCGCCCTGCGCCCTGCGTCGGGCCCTGGACGAGGCCGCCGCTGCCTGGCGCCTGGGGCCCCTCGGGCTGCTCGGCGCCTACCGCTTCGGGCACACGGGGGCGAGCGTCGCCTCCGCGACCGGCGCCCGGCGGCTGGTCAAGCTCCAGCGCTGCGAGCGGTGGCGGTCAACCCTGAGCCTCCGGCGCTACTGGCAGGGGGGGCGCCTGGCCGACCTCTCGCGCCGCCTGCCGCCCGACGTGCAGCGGGCGGCCGCGGCGACCGCTCAGGTGCTCCCCGACGTGCCGCGGGGGAGGCAGGCGCCATCTTCGGGCCGCTGAGGGCGCCGACCATCGCCGTGTTCCTCGAGCTGTTCGCGGGCTCGGGCCACCTGTCCGACGCCGTGGGGCGGGGGAACGTCCCCACCCTGCGCTGGGACATCTTGCACGGCCCCGCCTACGACCTGCGCGACCCCAGGAACGCCCGCCTCATTCGGGGCTGGATTCGGGCGGGGCTCGTCTGCGGCCTGCATGCTGGTTTTCCCTGCGAGACCTTCTCGCGGGCACGGGGCCGCCCCAACGGCCCACCCCGCCTCAGGTCGCAGGAGCACGTCTGGGGGCTGCCCAGTCTCCCCATCGAGGGCGTCGACTTCCAGAAAAGAAAGTGGGGCAACCTGTACGCGCGGCTCACGATATCGTTCTGCGTGCTGTGCTGCCAGTGTTTCGTCCCGTGGACCCTGGAGAACCCCGCGCTGAGCTACGCGCGGCAGCTGCCGCCAATGCTTGCCCTGCTCCGTCGCCCGCAGGTCACGTCCCAGGTGATCGAGTGCTGCCGGTTCGGGCGCCCTGGAGGAAGAGCACCAAGATCGTGGCGTTTCTCCTCGACCTGGCGCCCTTGGCCAAATTCAGATGTGTAGGGCCCGTCTGTGTCATCACAGGGCAGAAGCATCAGGAGCTGTCCGGAAAGGACGCTTCAGGCAGGTTCCGCACAAAGTTGGCGGAAGCATATCCTCGTAAGCTCTGCAATATCCTCGCCAGAGCGTACGCAGATGAAAAGGCCAGGTCCCGGGCTGGGCAGTTCTCCGCTTTGATTGGCCGCGCTGCTCGAGCGCTTGAGGGCCCGTGAATATTCCGGCTTTTCAGTAAATGCATTCTCGGCGTTGCCAGTTCAGCTGTGCAATTTGCAGCATTTTGCATGAGTCCGAAATTTCAGTTGATGTCCGTGGCCGCCCGCGGGTCGGAGATCCCCGGGCGGCAGCCTCTTGCGCCTGCAGCGTCTCGAAGCCTCGCCACCTGGCCCGCCTGAGCTGAAAAAAGGGAGCATAAGTCGTTCTCCGAACAGGGTTGCTCCTTGAGAAGCGTTGCGGGCCGCCCGTCTGCGATCTTCCGTTGACGTTTTCGCTCAAGCTCCCTCCCTCCCCCCCCCGCTTTCCCTTTATCTTTGCATGAGTCCGAAATTTCAGTTGATGTCCGTGGCCGCCCGCGGGTCGGAGATCCCCGGGCGGCAGCCTCTTGCGCCTGCAGCGTCTCGAAGCCTCGCCACCTGGCCCGCCTGAGCTGAAAAAAGGGAGCATCCTCCTCCTCTTCCTCCTCCTCCCCCCCCCCGTGGCTTTCCCTACATGGGGGAGGTGTATTCGTCGTCTCCTTGAGCGCCCCAGCCAGGCCAGAAGGAAGGCCCCGGGCGGAGAGCGGCACAGCTCGCTCCAAGAGGGTCCAAAGATAGCCAGAACCGCGCTCAGATGACATGCGAGGGCGGCAGGATGGCCCTAGATGGTACCAAGACGGCCTCCCAAGTTTTCAAGACGCCCTAGGGTGGCGTCCAGGAGAGCAACAATTCGTCAAGATTTCGATCCGAAGGCACCAGCAAGGGTCCCAAGAGGAAAAGCGCATCTTTGTTCCTGGGCTCTCCGTCCTGGGTCTCTACCCCACACCTGTCCTGTAGTGTGTCTGAGACCCACCCTCGACTCTTCCGAGGGGACCCCACAAGAAGTCTAACATGACCCCAGTGCGACACCAACCCAGCGCGACTTCAATCTGTCATTTAGCAACGGAGGCCTTGGTTGGCATGGTTGTACATTGTTTGGCATCGTTTGGCATTGCGTGGCATGGCTTGGCATGGCTTGGCATTGCTTGGCGTTGCTTGGCTTGGCACGGCGTGGCATGGGTTGGCATTCCTTGGCAACCCGTGCAACCCAGGCAACCGGGCGAAATTGAGGAAGGCCTGTTGGCCAGGCAACCCAGGCAACAGGGCAGCGAGGCAACTGGGCAACCGGGCAACCCGAGGAATGCCAGGCAGCGGGGCAACCCGAGCAGCCGGGCAACGAGGCAACCAGGCAAGTCAGAGAGGCGGGCTGGTGCAGGCTTTGCACCCACCGGTTCTTCGAGGGTGGAGGAGGAGAACGACGAGGACCAGCAGGAAAAGTAGCAGGAGGAGAAGGAGAAAGAGAAGGAGGAGGAGGAGGAGGAGGAGGAGGAGGAGGAGGAGGAAGAGATGGAGGAGGAGGAGGAGTCGAGGAGGAGGAGGAGGAGGAGGAGGAGGAGAATGAGGAGGACTCGGAGGACTTCAACGTCGCGCATCAACTTGACCGATGCTTCCTGACAGTCCGCAATTGTGCCAGAAGACCAGTCCTGGGACTTCAACCGTCCACATTACTGGAACTGCAACAAGCGTTCAAACTACACGTGCGCGGCGCTAGCCACACAGAGGGTAGGGGTGGACCAGGAGGAGGAGGAGGAGGAGGAGGAAGAGATGGAGGAGGAGGAGGAGTCGGAGGAGGAGGAGGAGGAGGAGGAGGAGGAAAAGGAGGAGGAGGAGGAGGAGGAGGAGGAGAAGAAGGAGGGGGAGGAGGAGCTTCATTGGATATGTCATGCTCGATTGGATCTCTCGCCTCCCGCCGGGGTCCCCCTCCCGCCACGCACACAGGTGGCCCCGATGGCACCTCCGGGCTCCGAACAAGCGCCTGGGTCGTCCAGAAGTCCACGAGGGTTGTCCGATGGTAACAGGTGGTCCAAGTTCGGAGATCTGAATGAGGAGGGTCGGACGGGGGTAGGACGAGGACAAATCCGTTCCAGAGCGATCCAGATCGCTCTCAGAGCGCTCTGAGAAGGGCGCGCGCCCGAGACATCCTCCAGAGCCGCGGGATCTCAGTGATGCTGGATTCATCCTCACCCGAATTTGTCCTCGTCCTGACTGCGTCTTAGGATGAGGGGAGGGGGAGGAGGAGGAGGAGGAGGAGGAGGAGGACGAGGACGAGGACGAGGACGAGGACGAGGAGGACGAGGAGGGTCGTCGAGCGGCTGGCCCCTGGACCTCTCGACCTCACCCCGAGGACTGGTTCTTAACCCTTGGTCGGTCCCAAGTTCCAGCCACGCGCGGAGGGGGTCTGGGGGAGGGGGGAGGGCTTCTCAGAAGCAGGCTGCTTCAAAGCAGCCTTCCCCCCTCCATCCGCGCACCTCCTGTGTGCATACTCTCCTCGGCGAGGACCATGGAGGATTGGGGGGTCTTTAATTTTTTCAACAAACAAGCGCCCTGTGCGCTTCTTCATAACAAGAACACAGTTTTGCAGTTAGAGCTCCTGACAAGCTAAACACGCTAAAGAACGCGATGGTGTGTTAGCTTGTGTTGCACTGTGTTTCTATGGGTGTTAAGCACGTCGCCGTGGATCATAACTTGTTTAGCGTGTTTTGCTTTGCATTTGTTTGGCGTGTTTCGTATCTGCCGCGGTACTCCCTCTCAGGGCTTACGACGTTTCTTTAAGTTGTTTGTTTTTGGAGTTTTTTACACAAAGAATCGCTCTAACACCGTTCTAACACCGGCCAGAAACAGGCCTGAAGGCCCGACGGCCCCGTGAGGGACAATCGGCCATCGGGCCCTGCCAGCACTGGAGGTCACGGGACTGTGGTAAGCAATGCAACCAATTGATCTGAAAACGCTGAAACAACGCAGCTGGAAACGCAAAACAAAAGGATAGTTGTTGTTGGCGTGTTTAGTTGTCTTGTTGGGACCTGATTAGCAAGCGAAACAAGGGATGTTCAACACTCCGAGCTACAAGCGGTAAAATATTGCCCCGGACAGATCTTAGAGGAACCAAGATGGAGGAGCACCAGGAATCATCTCCGGACACCAGAGATAGCGCACGACATCGCAACACGCCCTGGAGAGGACGAACGTCCGAGCGACGTCAGGCTTGTGCGCTCCGCCAACACAGGTCCGGGGCGGCAAAGAGGGGGGTAATGACTAGGGGGGGGTGGATATCATGGCGTGGGCCATGATATTTCATCAGATGTCATGGCGCCTCTTCTTATTTCATTACATCCCTGGCCCCCCCCCCCCCCCTGGGCCGCGCACATGCCGCCGGCCATGATTTGCACCCCCCCCCTCTTGGACGCCCCCTTCTTGGCCGCCCCCGACTTCCACCCCGGTCGTTGGAAGTAGGTATTTGGAGGATTCCCTTCAAGCGCCTTCCTACTTCCAGAATCGGCATGCTTCTGCCGTGTTCTGTGATTCTCTGGGATGGCCTGGGCCCAATCCACTTTATCCGCCTCCCTACTTCGTGTTTTTACCTACTTCTTCCGACCGACGTGTAAGAACACAATGAAGAGGTCGCCTCGCTGAGGTGCCCGTCTTCGTAGGGATAACCATTCTGGGCGGTTTGTTTCGATGCACCTGCAGAAAAGACCACCTGTCCCTAGTGCTCCTGGCCCTCCCAACTTAGGTCCCCTCCCGAAGGCTTAGGGGTCCTTTGTTGGTCAGTGAAGTGGCCCTTCGCCAAAGTGATTGTGGTGCGTGACCCGTGGTCAGGAGCGAAAGAGTCGACTATAGACGTAAGAGTGGCCCTTCGTTGGAGTGACCCTCGATGCGGGCCCCATGGGGCCCCCCGATCGCTGAACGCGAAGCGGTAGCAGCGGCTTGCGCGCCTTGTGGTGTCCCCAAGGGGCCCACCCTTGGCCGCGCACCAAGGGTCACTTTTGCCTAGGGTCACTCTTGCGTGGAGCCGAAAGAAGGAAGTAACCACGTTCACGAATCCACGCTGGTTTCGAGGGTACGTATTTCGCGAACGTTCGTAACACGAGGCCAGTCTCGCGGACTGGGCAGCCATGTTCATCCACGTTGTGGAGAGGGGCTTCACCTGTTCCGTTCTCTTTAGGGGGCGGGCGGACACCCAATCTATTTTCAACGCTTTCCTGCTTCATGTTTCTACCTACTTCTTCCGTCCGATGGGTATGTTTTTGTTGAGGGTTCCCTATTGGGGTCCCCCAGACGGCTGAATGCGATGCGATAGCAGCGGCTTGCGCGCTCGGGTTTTTGGCCTCCCCACGGCCCTCGAAAGTCGCGCAATGGAGGTGAATCTGGCCAAGGGTTTTGATGTTTCAAGCCCACTTTAGCCTTTGATCACCAGAAAGATATTCGAGCACCAAGAAGCTACCGAACACTGAGGCTTTCCGCGCGCCGGGCCCTGGGAGGCGATACCGGTCGACACTGCTTCGATATTTGTTTGGGTGCTCGAAATTATTTCTGGGATGTGGTCCTTGAGCACTATGGGAGCAGCATGCGCCAAGGGTCTCTCTCTCTTGCGTGAAGCCGACAAGTGCTGCCCTGGTGGAGTCGTGGCCCGACCACTGGGGGCGGATCGGGCCGCGGCCACGAGGACGCTCCAGGAGTCAAAAGTCCACTCCAGAGGCGCCCAGGAGACCTCGATCCTCGAGGAGGAGGTCGTCCTCCTCACGACGCTTCTGAGTTGCCTCCTCCTCCTCATTGGGCCTGCGAATTTTCTGGACACGTTCGGGTAAACGACACTGTACCACGACATCTTGGTGTCAAGCGTT